CCCCCGGTCTCAAAACAATAAGAAAAAAAAATTAAATAAATGTTAACAGATTGTATGATTGTAGGTCTCTAACGGCTGTCAATTAATCAAGCCGATTTTCTAACCATGACGATTTGCTCGCTATGACATGACACATGTTTTGTATGATTAAATTAATGCTTAATGTGAATGGATTTGCAAAACAGATGTTAAGGAATAGTTTTGTTATCCAAACGCTATTTCTGTTTTTATAGAACAAAAATCCGTTCTCGAAAAACAATTTGCCAAACACCTCTGTTGCTCCTGAGGAACAAGAAATAAAATTCTTGTTACAAAAAGTGCCTAAGCTTCTCTATACCCTGAGTATCACACTCAATGATGACAATGTCATCACCATGGACTGCCTGTATAATGCTACCAGAGGTTGTAATGCAACTTAATACAAAAGCATCAACTTAGCACCAAGCCAGCACTTCATCCCAAACTCTTTCACTACCTCACGAAATCTTCAAAGCAAGGCACTTGGCAACTTCCCTTCAGCAACAAACCCAAGAGGTCGCTCCATACACAGTTCCTCCACTAGAGTGTAACCATTATATAGAAAGGCATTATTAATGATGATTTGGAGAAATGACCTATGATTAGCTACCAGCCTACCACTAGAGTGTATGCACCTTGCCTAGGTCCTAGGTGCAACACTTTCAAAAGGCGTGTGCATGGTGCACCTTGTGCTTCAGCCCAGGCATGCTCCTTTGTTATTTTTTGAACCTAATGACTGCACCGGGGGCTTCGCCCCCTATTTGCTACAAAGGCAGATACCCATTGGCTAATGTTCGTCCATAGAAAAATATCTTTTTAAAAGGCAATTCATATTATAAAATCATTTATTTTTCTGTAAGGATTAAAAATTGAAGACCCTAACAAGGATTTGTTTGGGCTTGCCTCAAGGGGCTTGGTACAAAGGCAGATCATAGAATCAAGAACGCAAGATGTTTTAAAGTAGAACCCGTAAGACCGTAACATAGCTGCTAGGCCCAACCCAACCCAAGCCATAATCACCTTTAGTGGCATTGTTATTTTGGTTAGCAACTAGACAAGGTGCTCATACTCATTACATGTTAAAAGAGCACTATTTTGGGTGCATTTGGGCGGCAGGCTAGTTAAGAAATTTCATCTCAAATTTAAGACACTCCAGTCCACTAGTTCCTTACCTCAGGGACCTACTACTTTATAGTTGATGAGGTAGAGATCCTTAGCCGAGCCATGGCACAGTTAAGGAGCACCTTCCTTGCTTCCTCTTCCTTTGCAAAAGCAAGTAATGCCTCGGCACAGTGTTACTGGTCCTTTGCATTCCTGCTCCTAGATTATTCATTCAGGAGCTACAGATCACATGACTCATTTGTCCTCATTATTTACTTCATATCAACTCATGTCTGGACCTGGTTAAGACAAAGTGAGAGTAACCGGTGGTTCCCTCTCCACCTTCTCTGGTAAAGGTAAGGTTCACCTCAGTAAGGAGCGGTCATGAAGCTAGGGGTGTTTATTATTTTGACAAAGATATCAGTTTAGTTCTGCAGTCATCAGCTTTTGGCGGTTGTTAGGACAAAGAGTCAATAACTAAGGTGCATCTATGGCATGCTAGACTAGGTCATATGTCTTTTCTTTATTAAAAGAGTTGTTTCTATAATTGTTTCAGTCAATTTCAAGTGAAATTTGGCTATTGGTACTTTATCAGTTTGTCCCATTTCAAACAGTGAGGTTTGTACTCCTTTTTTATTTGGTTCACTCTGATGTTTAGGGCCCTTCACCTCCTTGTTTCTATAAATGACTATTGGTACTTTATCAGTTTTATTGATTATTATTCTCAACACGTGGATATACTTTCTAAAAAATCACACAGACGTACCAAGGGCAACAACAATGATGCTCTATAAAATGAGGGAAACTCAATTTGGCAATGTTCTACATCAGTCTTACAATGCAGCAGAACACTTTGAGAGTTGCTTGGATGTGTTCTTGGAGGAAGCTAATGTTCTACATCAGTCTTCTTGTGCTCGTACTCCTCACCAAAATGGGATCATTCAATGCAATAATAGACATTTATTGGAGACTGCTCAGGCCTCATTATTTCAGCAGTAGGTGCTGAAGAATTATTGGTCTCAAACAGTTCTTACAGGCTCCATTTTGATAAACTAAATGTCATCTAGGGTGTTGGGCATGAAAACCCCATATTCTATCCTGTGTCCTATGTAAGTTCACTTTCTCTTGCCTCATAACATCTTTGGATGTGTCTGTTTCATTCATATTAAGGATCCTAAGCAAACAAAGTTGGATCCTAAGGCTATTCATGGTATTTTCTTTGGGTATTCTCCTACACAGAAAGGCTACAAGCATTATGATCCAATTTTTGGATAAAAGTTTGTAACCAAGGATGTTGTCGTCTTTGAGTCTCAAGCTTTCTTTGAGTATTCCAAGAATCCCCTTCAGGGGGAGACTAGTAGGGTGGAAGAGGATTCTTCCTCTCCTTTTGTCCCTTTTCCTACATCCTCTTCCCTAACCCTTCTAGTTCTGACACTTCAAGTGAACCTAGTGAGACTCCAGTTGACTCTACAGGTAATGATGGTGCAGATGCAAAACTTTTGAAGCATCTGGAACTGCTTACCTACAGAAAAAGAAAAAGAATTCCTCTAGCTTGTGATGATAACCAACCTGACTCCATCCAGTCAGATCTTGCTAATCCAAGTAACTCTTCACCTATTGTTTCTCCTCCTATTTCTAACTTGGACCTTCCCATTGCTCTTCACAAAGTTGTTCGTTCCTATACTACTCACCATCCCATTGCCAAATATATGGCATATTCTAGCTTGTCCCCTAGTTATTATTCCTTTTCTCTCTGCTCTTTCTTCTATTCATGTCCTTCCAAGTACTCTGAAGCTACACTGAAGCTATAAATGATCCCAAATGGAGGGAGGAAATGAATGAGGATATGTGGGCTTTGATGAAAGAAAAACCATGGAAATTAGTGGACTTACCAAAGGGGAAGAGTATTGTGAGATGTAAGTGGGCATTCCCAATGAAGTATAGGGTAGATGGCTTAGCGGAAAGGTACAAGGCACAACTTGTAGCAAAAGGGTTTACTTAAAAGGAGGGGATTGATTACAAGGAGACATTACACCTATTTCCAAGCGCAATACTGTTTGTGTTTTGCTATCCTTAACAGCTAATTTATCATGGGAACTACACCAGCTAGAGATAAAGAATGTGCTTCTGAATGTAAACTTGCATGAGGAAGTATTTATGAATCCCCCTCCAAGCTATGATTTTCATGGGAAGGTGTGCAGGTTAGAGAAGGTTTTACATGGGATGATGCAATCTCCTTGTGCCTGGTTTGAGAGGCTATGTGAGGCTATGAAGAATGTGGGGTAAACTCCAAGTGATGCTAACCATACACTTTATAATAAGACAGGGTGAAACTTATTGCTCTCATAATGTATGTAGATGATATGGTTATCACTGGGAATGACTTAGAAGAGATAATGAGATTGAAGAACTTTTTAGCCTCTAAATTTGAGATCAAGGATCAGGGACACTTTAGATACTTCCTAGGGATTGAGGTTATGAGGTCAAAAGAAGGAATATACATTTCCCAAAGAAGTATGCCCTAGAACCTTCTAAGAGAGGTATGTATGATGGGGAGTAGACCTGCTAATTCTAATGGAACTAAACCATGGATTGCAAGAGTTTGATGATAAAGACTATTCAAATAAGGAAATATATCAAAGTCTAGTAAGAAAATTTATATACTTATCTCTTACCATGCAGGATATAGGCTATGTAAAAGCTGAGTATAAAGCAATGGCTCATGGTGTTGCTGAATTGTTGTGGCTCAAAATACTACTTACCAAGCTAGGGATAA